AAACACAATTAAATCCTTCTAATGTTTCTGGTTCTAGTATACAACGGTCATATAGTAGAGAAAAAGATCTTGAAGAATTAGCTAAAATGATTGTTGTTATGGGTTTGCCATTTAGTTTTGCTGAAAATCCCGGTTTTATTCATTATATTCAAATTGTGTATAATCCACATTTTAAAGGTTTTACTAGAAATACAATTAAAAAGGCTATCTTTGATTATCAAGCTCAACATTTTCAATATCTTCGTTGTTTATTTTATTATAACAGTTGTAAAATAGCTATTACTTCTGATATGGGTCGTAGTGTAAATGGTAATGATTATTTCACAATTACTGCGCATTGGATTGATGAAAATTGGACTTTGCAAAAAAAAAAAAAAAATAGGTTATAAATGTTGTGAAATGTATAAAAGTGGTAGTTATATAGCTCAAACAATTATAGATGTTTTACAAAACTATGAAATTTGTGATAAAATAAGTATAATGCTTCTAATAATAGATTTGCTGTTGAAATACTAAAACCGTCTGTTTGCCCTATTTATATTGATGGTTTTCATATTAGGTGTGCTGCACACATATATAATTTGATTGTTAGAGATGGTATAGCAATGTATAGTGGTGGTTGCATAAAAGTTGAAACTACATGTCATTTTATTTTAAATGTCAAGTTAAATCTAGACGTAGAGATTTTGAAAATCGTTGTCGTGAATTTAATCTTCCTCCTAGAAAAATTCCAAAATCAGTGTGTACTAGATGGAATTCTTTATATGAAATGCTTGAAGTCACTTATGAATTTAGGAAACCTTTACAAATGGTTTGGAATGCTCATAATTCAAATATGACATATAGACTTGATGATAATGATTGGAATGACGTAAAGAACTTGTAGAATTCTTAAAAGTTTTTTATTTAAGTACAAAAAAAATATATGCACTTTATTATCCAACTATTTTCTCTGTTTTACCTAATATTTGTGCTATTTCTAATAAATTTTATAAATTCAAAAATAAACCAAGATTTGAAGAATCTGTTAAGAAAATGATTGAAAAATTTAAAAAATATTAAAAAATATTTTATTCCTATTCGTCAAATTTATTTAACCGCTTGTTTGTTAAACCCACATTACAAAGATGAAGGTGTATCACGAATGGTTGATAAATATATTTAATTTGGGTATTGATAGTGAAGATGATGAAACACCTAGTTGTCAAGATGTTAAGATAGTATAAAATTGAAGCTAGAAAATTGTATGACTTGTATAATTCTAATAGAATGAATAGTAGTACGAAATGAAGAGCCTCAAAGTTCTAGGAGTAGATATAATGAAGATGATCTTGATGATATGATAGATTGTTATCTTGAACTTTTCTCATAATGATAGAAATGATTTTGATGTATATATTAATCAAAATACAGAACCTACTACTATTGATCTTCTAGAATGGTGGAGCAATCGCGGCTAGGGATTTCCAAAACTTCATCCGGTTGCTCGAGATGTGTTAGCTATTCAAGCATCTTCAGTAGCTTCGGAAGGCGTTTTTAGTGCAATAAGATTTCAAATTGGAGAGCATAGATATTATTAGCAGCAGATAGCTTGGAGATATCGGTACTATTTAGAGATTGGATTAATGCCGAGAGAAGGAGTTATGGTCGTCCACCCTTACCAATCAAATTTGAAAATGATGTCGATGAAATAATACAAGATTTAAGTGACGACGGCATTGATGCAATGGAGGAACTATCTAATCAACCAATTTCAGAGCATGTTACTAGAGAAATGTTAAATGATTTTTAAAAAAAATTCCTTGGTAGCATGAACTATTAAATTTAAATGTCTATTAGTCTGAGTATGATAATTCAAGGTCTAATTCAAACAGAACTCTTCCTAGAAGGTGGCTGTGTAGATTAGATTTTTTAATACTCTACTAATATTTTGTAACTCAACTTGTACTATTTAATTAATATTAATAAAAGTATAGGCTATTCACCTTAATTTTTTTTATTATTGTCTTAAATTTAAATTTTCAAACTTTTAAAGTGTGAAATTTAAACTTTTATAGTTTTAAAGTTTGAATTTAAATTTTCAAACTTTTAAACTGTGAAATTTAAACTTTTATAGTTTTAAAGTTTGAATTTAAATTTTCAAACTTTTAAAGGGTGAAATTTAAACTTTTATAGTTTTAGAGTTTAAAAGTTTGAATTTAAAATTTCAAACTTTTAAAGGGTGAAATTTAAACTTTTATAGTTTTAAAGTTTGAATTTAAATTTTCAAACTTTTAAACTGTGAAATTTAAACTTTTATAGTTTTATAGTTTAAAAGTTTGAATTTAAATTTTCAAACTTTTAAAGAGTAAAATTTAAACTTTTATATTTTTAAAGTTTGAAATTTTGTATTTAAAACTTTAAAAGTATAAATTTTTAACTTTAAATTTATAGAAGTTTTAATATTATTTGAGTAATGTTCCTAATTTTTTAATTTTAATAATTAATTATTATTTTTTAAAATATAGCCATTGCGACCCAGTTTCCGGTCCGGTCCGGGACAGGTATAATTATTTTACGGTTCCAACCCGTGGTGCCCGGTTCCGGTACGGTTCCAGCCCGTGGTGCCCAGTTCCGATCCATCCCGATCCGATAGTCCCGATTCCGGTCCCGTTGCCACGCTTACCCATATCCCTTATTTTATTAATTCCTCTGTGAAGGTTTGTAACTTTGTATCAACTAGTTACCCAGAATTACCAGCTACATATAATATTACTCATATATATTAATTGATAACAGAAATATTGACAAACTATCTGTGTAAACAATTAAATAAAGAATAATGTAAAAAGAAAAATATTATCAGTATATTTAAATTAAAACCAAATTTTAGTTTACATTCTATAAGTTTATCAGTTCATAGATTTGGTTCAATGGCTACATAAGCAGGCCACAACTTACGTTTACATAATTAATTACAAATTAGTTTGGGCAATAAATTAAGGGAAACTTTAGAAAATAATCACTATAATAAAAACTTAATTATGCTCCATAACTATAGTTTACATATTTACGGACGGTAACTATAGTTTAAGCTGCATTATTTATATAATTCGCGAGTTTGTATAATTAGCGGGCGAGTTTGTGTAACACCCCAGATTTTTTTTGGAACTAAGACTCGAACCATCCTTCGTTGTGAGTAGGGTTTTACCGAGGAATTTAAAATTTCTTAAGTGTTAAGGTCACTAGATGTAGCACCTTGAGTTTCAAAAAGAACTAAAGAGAGTTCACTCAAGTCATTCCTAAGTTCTTCTAAATTTTGGATCAACTTCAAATGACCATAACTTTTAGCACATGATGAGTTAGGTGGCCCGTAAGATATCATATTAAAGGTATTTGAATTATCTTTCCAACTCCACCGAGTTTGCTAAGTTCCGAGGTCGAATGAGTGAGATATGCTCTTTTGAAGTCAGGCTGTCTAGTTAAGAAAAGTTACCCGAAAATAGTAAGGTGTATTTTAGGCTTTTCCTTACCCAATTAAATTATTTCATTTTTAGTAAGTTATTTGGGGTCTAAACTGAGTTAGTTCAGTTTACGCAATTAAGAACTACGCTAGGGCTTTGAGAGAAGAGAGAAGAGAAAAGAGGAGAAAAGTCAAGGCGGTCTTGGAGATTTCTTGCGGAATCGAAGTCGCTTCGCCAAGGGTTGATCCCTAAAGAGGTATGTGAGACTTTCATAGCATTGGGTTTGTTCGCTCACGCGC